CGGAGAACTTAATTTCTTGAGAGTTCAAATTCCGTTAACGAGGAATTAGAGATGATTTCCTTTTGCACCCATCCCCGAACCCCTAATTTCCTATTTCTCCGTATTTGTTAACCGCGAGACTTTTGCGGAACCTAAACTTCACGGATAACGAGGATCTCTTGTGCTAATTGCTTCTTTGAATAACACCATAGTAAAATTCGCCATGAAAATCTACCTCAAGTACCTGCAGGGAGAGTATTGCCAACTCAATCCTCTTTTACTACAGAGAATGTGTGCCGCTTTCCGATTTAGTGGCAAGTTATAGCAATAGCGAGGCGTGCTTAGCGATACATCGATTGATCTGCCATTTAAACCTATTAGAAAGGATCGATAAACAGGCTGTTCGCAACGAACACTTTCATAATCGATTCTTCACCACACAGCTTAAAATGGGGAAGTCTTTTGGATGATTAGTGGCAATTTGACAAGGGACGGAGGCTTCCTTCGATAAAATTTCTCGGTCAGACGCTTCTCAGCCCGTTTTCTCAAAACCTCATTTTTGCACTTACTGCTCCCTTCGTAGCACGGCAGTATTGTACTCTATGGGAAAATTAGCGGGGCCTTTTGCGGGGTTTCGGCTCGATGTTGCGACGGTGGCGCCGCGAGGTGGCGGTAGTAGGTCAACAGATCGACCCAACCTGTTTGCTCGCTTGAGGTCTTGCTGCGTTGATGGCAAACAGGAATATTCGTCTCAATTGTGACGGGCAACCAGAATCAACATCCCCTCGCCCTCGCAGGGCCCACCCTTCCCTTCCCTCCCCCTCACGCTCGCCGCTTTTCCCGGCCGAGCATTTTCCTCGCGGCCACGTTGCCGCCTCTTCACCGAGATAAATCACATTTTCGTGTCGATGCATTTAAAGAGCTACTTACAGGGAGAAAAAAAGTGGTGACAGATTCCGATTTAATTACGCCGTTACGCAGGTGGGTGCAACATGGTGTCATATGTTTAAAAAATCAGGGATTCAAAGGATAGAAGGTTGTCCCAACGTCCGTTTGTTTTGGTGTAATGCAACACAAAATTTAGTTCATGACAATTTTTATAGCATTTCTTCATTCCCATTAATCACGTCGTTTTCCAGAAAATCGACGAAAAAAACGTTTGTAAAAACTTTGTGAAAATTTTTTGATGTTTGCACCATCACATTGCTTGATTGTCACCTGCCGATGATTAATATTTCATATCCTTGTATTTTTTAAAAAAAATTAGTGCTTTAATGCTAGTGGTAATACTTGTGGTAGCTTTATGCTTATTGTGTGTAAGTATGTTTAGGTTAATGTCTTGGATAATGCTCCGAAGACGAGAGAAACTCCGAAACGCCGTTAGCGTATGTAAATAAATCCATTTATTTTCACTTAATGTACGATGTTTTGGCAAAAATATCTTTCTCTATCATGACACTGATAATTGCAAACTCCTTTGATTACTTAAAAAAAGAAGAAAAAAAATCAGACGCCAAACTGAGAAAGAGAAACGCAGCTAAAGAAAGAAGAAACGTATTCGGGCCTCTTTTTAAAACTTTTCTCCTTGATCTGAGTAACAAATTATTGGCAGCATACAGCGAAGCGTTTCGAGTTCACCTCTTGCGCCATAGCGCCTTCAATTTCGAAGACGCAACACGGACATCCATCAAGCACGAATAGTTGTATCTCGGCGCCGTCATCAACGCGCTTCCTTTTCTTTGCTCTATTTCCACATTTTGTTAGTTTCCGTTCGTCTTGTTTATAATGGTGCTTCAAGGACTGCGTGAGCAACACAGCCGAATATAAAAGATTTGTATTCGAACCTTATTTATTTTTTTCTTTACAGGTTGGTTATCAACTGTCATTTGGCGGAAAATAGCGTTGAACTCAGACTTTAATTTTTGCTTCACTCGATTAACTTGCTTAAATTCTTAGTAAGGCATCACTAAAATATATTGGCACTGAATATGAATGAAATTTTCGCCATTTCCTGTGTCATTGTATGTAACCAAATCTTCGTTGGTATTTGATCCAGACATTCCGTATTTAACAGACGGATTCTATTATTTTTTTCCATGACGAGAAATTGTTACCTACTGGCTAAGGTGCCACAAGCGCCTTGCGACGTTTCAAAATTTCCATCGCCGTTTTATTTTTTACGGAGAAATCGTTGGTTGAATCTGTTTGAAAATGCCACTGAATTTTAACGACAGCACAAAGAAAATTCAGTGAATTATTCAGACAGCTTTGTCGCACAATTTCTATATAAAAAATAAAATGGTGGCAAAAATTTCTAAACGTCTCATGGCGCTTGTAATACCTTGGCTGAAAGGTGACGATTTCTTCTCATGGACAAAAAATAATAGGATTCGTCCGTTAAATACGGAATGCCTGGATCAAATGTCAACGAGGATTTGGTTACAAAAAATTGGAAAATTTCATTTCATATTCAGAGTCAGTATATTTTAGGGACGCTTTATTATCAATCTAAGCAATAATCGAGTGAAGCAAAAATGAAAGTGTGAGTTCAGCGCTGCTTTCCGCCAAATGATAGTTGATAGCCGACTTGTTAAGCAAACAATAAGTAAGGTTCGAATACATGCCTTTTTTTCTTCGGCTGTGTTGCTTACGCAGTCCTTGAATCACCATTATAAACAAAACAAACGGAAACTAGCAAAATGTGAAAGTAGAGCAAAGAAAAGGACGCACGTTGATGACGGCGCCGAGATACAACTATTCGTGCTTGATGAATGTCCGTGTTGCGTCTTCAAAATTGAAGGCGCGATGGCGCAAGGCGTGAACTCGAAACGGTCCACTGTATGCTGGCGAAATTTTCTAAACGTCTCATGGCGCTAGTGATACTTTGGCCGGAAGGTGAGGAAATCACCACTCTTTTCAGGCCTCCACGGCATATTCCTCACCCGCTAAATCTGAAAATCGTTAGCGAAGTGGCAACGGTGGGCATGAATTTTTTTTTAAATTGATATTTCACGCAGGGAGATTACGCGGCGAGCCCGTTGCGCAAATATTTGCTCCGATCGTGCGTCCCTTCAGCTCCGACGAAATTGCTCATTTTTAAAGGATCTCCCGATATTCCCTTTTGCCGAGGCCATGGCCCGGCCTTTTCAGTCCGGATTTTTTGGCAACGCCGCTGGAAAAACTTTTACAGATTCTCTTGGACAACTTTCCTTGTTATTTTTTAAGCGCGAAATACACCTGTGGCATAATTGGAGGTATTTAAACTAAATAAGCCTATTTACACAACAAGTTTTGAAAAAAATAAAGAAGGAGAATGCATGCAGTAGCTGAGAACGGGTAATATAGACGCTGTTTGCGGTGACATTTTGTGAGCATAGACTCTCTGTTGCATTGAATTGGATCCAAAAAATAAAAATGACATAACTTCTTTCAATAAATCGATATAAATCAACGGATGTGACCGTGTACCCACGTCGCGGTTTTTAAAAATCTCCGCTCCCATTTTATTTATTTATTTATTTATTTATTTATTTATTTTTCTTCTTTTTTTTTTAAAGGAAAACAAATCAAAATCATTTCTTGAAACTTGATTTTTTTCCTGTCACAGTTCTTTCTAGCATTCTACCGGACCGATTTCCAGGATTTTTGCGGTCATCGACAGGTGATAATCCCTAGATGAGCCCGCTCTAAACAGATTTTGGACATAAGACCCACTTTTAGCGGCTCTGGTGCTTGCACTAGAGCTGCTATTCCGGACGGTCCCAGCTGCGGAGTATCATTGGACCATGTTACATTGGAGAGACCGCGCGTTGGTTGATGGGAATCGGCGCCATTTTCTGCTGTTTAGGGGGGACTGATTTTATTTTAATTGATATCTTTTTCCTGTGAGCGAATGCTATGTTGTGTAGTGTATTTTTGGAATCATGGTGATACTGTCAATAATTCAAAACAGGTCTGTGCTTTAATCTCGCACTGGAAAAAATGTACTTTACGTTTAAAATTTGAAAATTCAAATCTATAAGTTTTCGCGCTTTTTTCGAAGAATGCCGTGGTTGGAGCTTCCTAGTCATACTACTCGACATCAGCTGATAGCAAACAAAGGTTACCAAGGAAACCGTAAACGCGTAACAACTACCGTCGCCAGAGCCGCTTTCCGACGCGAATGCGTTGGAGCTTCCTGCTTGTTTTATAATTACGTAATAAAAATAGGAATCCTCCGATTTAAGCAATGCAAAGGTATGTTATTTTTTGTTGGAGTTTGTTTCAAAGATTTACCGAGCCAATTTTCATGTTCATGATGAGGGCTATTGAGGGGGCGAAGCGCCCCTGGGGGCAAGGCCACGTAGCTACCGAGGGGCGTGACCATAGCTCCCGAGTTGCTGTAATGTGCTGGTTACACGCTCAAATTTCCATCAATTTCCGATCAAATGGTGACTGGTGCGCACCATTTACCATCAAATTTCTGCGACCTGCAAAAATTTGATAGTAGATGATGGAGCTGTGGGGCTCATCCTTCATCTGATTTCCACACAACCGTGCTTATTTCATGCTTATTTCAATCAACACGCTGTTTTAATTAATTTTACTCATCAATCTAGATAACTCTCGACCGTCATCTTGGTCTTCATTTTGATCGGAATTTGACGGAAATTTGAGCGTGTAACCAGGTCATAAAGAAAAAAAATATAACCAAGCAAAAATCGGAAAAACCACGATGAGTCGGAAATACATACATAAATAAGCAGATATATATATAAATATATAAACATGAATTCAAACGGCATGCATATTCGTAATCTACGACCCATGATCGATGCTCATTACATGGTCTTTGGTCCAGGTCTGACATCAGGGGAGAACGCAATAGTGTATTTCCTTCGGAAAATACACTAAAATCTATTTTGAGTATTTGGACGTATTTATGCTAAAATGAACTATGTTGCACGCAATCCATATGAACATAGGTCCATTTGGCATAAATGCGTCCACTTGATGTGTTGAAGGAAGTGAAGGTAACGAACCTGGTGGGGCTTCTGTTTGCCGTAGCCGAGGCGGACGATGTCGAGGAGGTTCTGGCGGGAGACGGACTTCAGAATCCTGTTGGGCCGGAGGGACTCGCTGCTGCTCTTGTTACCGGTCGTGTAGCCCGAAACGGCCGGGCTCCCCGTGTCCAGTCGCGAGCCGGAGGCGCTGAGCCCCTCGTTTCCGCCCGACTTCGAGGCCGTCCCTAATCAAACAAAACCAACGAAACTCACATTAATGTCCATTCAAGCTTTCCATTATCATAAAAAGCGCCTTCATTCCTGTCGGCAAGCAACGGTTTATACTCAGAGCTAGAATATTTGTATCAACGTGCAATGGAAAGCGCCAATTTCAAAATTCTGACACATGTGTCCGCAACAAAACTTTTATCACACGAATCATGCTCTAAAGTTGGGGGACTGTGCGTGGGACCCGAAGTTTAGGTCATATGGATCTCTGAAGTTTTCGGATTGAGCAACTGAACACTTTAGGTCCAGCTGCTGAGGTTTAGATCACACATCTGAAACTTCAGTTCTTACATCTGAAGTACTTCGGTTTTCACATCCGAAAAACTTCGGTTCTCACATCTGAAGTGCTTCAGATGTAAGAACTGAAGTTTTAGATGTGTGATCCGAACCTTGACAGCCAGACCTAAAGTGTTCAGATGCTCAACCCGAAAACTTCAGAGATCCATATGAACTGAACTTCAGGTCCCACGCACGAGGTTTTTTTCTCCATGGCAGATTTTACAACACAAAAATGCTACTTTAACCAAAATCGTGGTTAAATTAGCTTACAATAATGCTTAAAGTAGCAATTTTTTGTTGTAAAATCTGCATTGAAACATTGCAGTCACTTTTTATAGCAATTGAACTGTTAAATCGGCAATTTAATTTTTCCGTGTGGCAACGGCGTGGAAGATGCAGACGCAAATGGTTGGACGGCTCGGCGGAATAGTAGAGCATAAAAAGGCTGAGATAAGGTGGAATGGGACTCGACTCCAAGAACCGCGACAACGCCTAGCGCCTTCTCGGCTTCTCCACTATTACATTGAAGCCCTCAATAAAATTTAGCTGATGAAATGTACACTTTCCCCGCGTTGTCAAGTAGTCAAATCGTGCATTACGTTAAATACTAGGGGAAATGGACCACGTTTAGCAGAAAGGAACCAAGCAACATCAGCTATGGCAATTATATTTAAGTGGAAAATTCAATTTTTTACAAGAGTACGCTCGAGCAGATTCCTTTGAAAATTTTAAACGATGTGTGTTAGTACTATGCAGAAAATTTACTGAAATTTGCACAAAAATTCGCACAACCGTTCTCATGTAAAAATTAAATTGCCCACTTCATTAAAAAATTCAATCCTTAAAAAAAAATTACAACCTCTCCACACTCAAAAAACAAGTATGGGAAGAGTGACTTACCGGCCGAGTTATGGATCATGGAGCCATACAATATAGTTCGTGGAGCCATGCTTATGGATTCACGACCAATTAAGTATGGCTCTGAAAGCCATACTGTAGAAGGGTAAGTCACTTTGGTTAGAAATTATGGATCTCCGAGCCATTTTTTAAGGGTCTCAGTCATACCTTTTTTGAGTGGAAAAGAGGTGATTCTTTAGGAAAACAAAATCGCGATTGTGGTTCTCGCAGCAACAAGGCAAAATTGTGCTACGTGACGAACTTTTGTCCATTCAACAGTATGTTAAGCAATCTGTATGTATCGTGCCCGGTTGCTTCGCCAGGAATCGATATTCACGATGGATTTTGATGGATGAAAAATAGTGCCATCAACCTAATCCGTGAGAGCCAAACTAACAGTTTGGCAGCGGCGGGATGTTCTTTGGGCTTTTTCACCTGGTACGGTGGAGTTGCTCGCGGATTCTGACGACGACGTCCGCTTAAATTGTCAACGGAGAGTAACTGTGTCTCGCTGATACCGCCCGCCAACTTCCCGATTTTGGATGCAAGCCACGCACAAGGAAAATTGGCTCTCGAGCTTCGTTGCCTAGTGATCTACCCGCACCTGCTCGACTGGCCAAGACTCGCCGAAAAATCACTTAACCAACTCTGCGAATAACTTTATAAAACCAGCTCATGAAAAAAAAGAGAAGAAAAGTAATCAAGTTTATGCAAGATTATGAGCACCCGAGAGTCGATGGGAAATGAACCTGTTTTCACCAGGTTGTAAATTAGCGCTGGCTCTACATTGTTCTGCGATGAAGCAGAGGCAAATTTCTTTTAAAGAACTGTTTGGCCTCGCTTTCTCGCGAAAAAAGAATCCGTATGAATGAAGAGTATGTTTTTTTGGTCGAATTTTTTTAAAAGTCTGGAATTTCTCTCTGTTATCCTTTATTTGGACTACATTATGCAATTTGAAACTATAAATTCCAGCCCGGTGTAAAAACAACGTATGTGCCATTAGTTTTCCCTATGCACATAAATGTTTTTCCAGAGGAGGCAGAATTTATAGTTCCAAATTGCAAAATGCAGTCCATTTGTTCTTAGGAAAACTGGTCATCGTTATTTCTTGAAAAGTCTCTTGATTCTTCTTCTGGGGTAGCAAAATATCCTGCGAAAATGTCAAACTACTAAAGTACCTTGTTTCTCTTTGAAAAAACAAAATAGGAGCGGTAATTTTGAAACACCGCAATGTGTTTTAGCATTATGTTATGTGTTTTAGCACTTGGGCCGTCGAAAAGCCTTTAGCGGCCTCTCGTGAGGAGAGGATTCCCGCCTTTCACCCCTCATTTGACGAATAGCCCGACGAATAGGCCCGAGGGTAGCAACGTCTGCGGCACAGTTTGGCAACGGCGCGGCTGAAAAAGGATTGCAGCGGAAGCCGAATGTTATCTGAAAAGTACACAACCCGCGCGGCGAGTAAAGTGCGGATCATCTCACTTACATCAATACGGAACCGATTTTATCCCCCGAAAAATAATATTTCCGTTTTTGGCCCGGATTCCGTGGTCTCCCACCGCCACCCCATCCCCACGCCTCAGCTCCACCCGAAACACTCGAGATGATATTTTCATGGAAAAACATCAGGCACCAACCTGAGAAAAAGGCTCACCAAAGATACAACTGATCCAGGTTAACTAGATCCAGGAGCGTGTCCCATAGCTCAAAATAACACACGCTCCTCCCATGAACATTTGTCCAAAAGTCCTTTTCAAACGGGCTACAGTCCCCCATTCCCAAAAGTTCTGGGTGAAAAAAAGCGGGTTATAGGCTTTCTCTCCCTCTTAAGATACATTAAGATAATTTCAGACCACCCCCGCACAGCGGATCGAGTCAATCGGAGAGGTCGGGCATGAAATGTTAGAATAAAACTGCAAATTTTTATGTTAACTTCGTTACATTTTAAACATTTTTAACGAGGTGCTTCTGGAAGAGAGTCTCGCGGAAAACCCAATGAAACCGCTTTTAGAATTTTACAGTTTCGTATAAACGGAGTTATAAGCGTTTAAAATTTCCAAATTTTGTCCGACCTCTCCTATCAACTCGATCCACACTGGGAAAAAAAACGCATTGGATCTAGAGTTCAGACTCTTGAAAACATTGACAAGAAAAAATACTGTTGATTCAATCAGATTTAAGCTTAAATCAAGAACCAAGTCTCTTAATTTGAGCGGATTTCCTTTTGATATAAGCTTAAGTCTGATTGAATCAAGATTATTTTTTCTTGTCGATATTTTTAAGGACTATTTTAATTATTTAAAGTTAAACCCAAGATTAATGGAAATCAATAAATAACTCCTCCTACAATAGCAAAAATGATTCCTATTGATAAAACATAATGAAAATGTGATAAAAAAATTAAAACATAAAATGGGTTTAACAAATTTTACCTTAGAATTATTCCATATTATTTAAATACCATTGAATTTTAGCTTACTTAAGTTGAGCTTAAATTTAGTGTCTTTTTTTGTTTTTAAAAAAAGTCGTAACTTTATAATATTGTTATATTATAGGGCAACCCCTAGAGATGTGTCCCCCTCCAATGTGTTTTTTTTCCCCAGTGCACTGTGCCCCGCCTCTTGACATACGGATATTTCAACGACCCCGAAAAACGTAGGCGGTGCGGTAGCACCCCCTGCACGGAGAAAGTTATTGCTGAGAGTCGCCGAAAATTCACCTTAAAAATGCAGATGTGCGGGTTTCATGGAGGAGGTGTGTGAGATCCTTTCTGGTTCAGGGCGTAACGTACTTACTGTAGAGTCACGGCTCGCGAGCTCTCAGACAATGACGTAATACGGCGAAATCACGAACGTAAAACATAACGCCCTTTTCGCCGAGGAAGTCGGGAGCTCCTTCCCGTATCTCCGTTACGGAATCGTCGCCATAAAAGACCCGACGAAACGAATCCGCGGAAATGATGCAAATATGAACGAATTCATTCCATCCAGAATACACATGCACGTCGCATGGACGTATTTCTATCGAACGGAACTATGTGCATTATGACGTGAGCCCTGTTGAGCATATATTCTTATGGGTCTCAGGGCTCATGGCTTAATGCACATAGTTCTGTTTGATAGAAATACGTTCACATTTCGTCGCTTCGCTGATATCGAAACCCCGTGACTTACTTTTAAGATGGTCTCTCTCGGTCGTGCTACTGTGCGCTGTCCAGAGCTCACGCTCGGGGATGGGTTTCGCGCTTTCTCGCTGCGGGACGACAATTTATGCGATTAGATAAATTGCCTGAATGCAGAGCACTCCGCGTTTGCTCTGCATCAATAATCGATGGGGCTCCCGCTCTAAATGACACCCAATAACCGCTACTTCCCGAGAGTGTATCAACGGCTGGATCCCGGTTCCCCTCATGCGGAGACTATGAACAAGCGGGAAGTCCAAAAGATTGCTCATCGTTATTTGCCTCTGTTTAGAAACTGTGTCGAGAGTGTTGCTTTGAAGGTTTTCCCATTTGTAAATCGGTTTTTCCTTTCCTTATTGAAAAATTTGCATGGGCAAAATTTAAAGAGTATTTATGAACTGTGCTGCTGTGGTAAGGAAGAACGCCGTATGAGCATTCGAGAGTTGCTGAATATCCTTCGATAAAATGTTCATATTTGCGAAACGTTATGAATGTTTTTCCTTGACATTTTCAGGAATGTCACGTAAAAATGCGCACAAAGTTATCTGAAAAATTGAAAGAAAAATTTTCACAAGTTTACCAGGAAATTCATCTTTTACCAAA